ACATCATTATGCCCATACATGGGCACATGACACACATTAATTTGATAGTGTGGACTGAGCTTAAATAATTAATTGTATTGTTCTACTAGGCCTGCATATCTTTTATTGTGATAAATTGTACTTTAATCAAAAAGGCACAAACACAAATTGCACACAAATTACATGAAGCAACATAAAACGTAAATTTAACAGAAAACTTTTGCTTTAAGCTAAGCTAAGCTTATGTAGACTCTGTTGACACCAACTAGTTTTGACTAATTGTGATTTGCCTGTATCATGGAGATGTAATACTTCTATTCCTATAAATATGAGCATGATGTTGTCATCAAACCTATGTGAATGGATCTCAAGCATTATTGTCAGTATTTACCTACAGTACAACCCGTAAATGATATACTGGTCAGAACAAATGAAGGCCATGAAGAATTTAAAGGATGGTGCATTTCCACTTTGAATGTACTCTTTTCTGAGGACTGGTGGATGGTATAGGTTGGCTGCCAGCTTCACATTCTGCAAACAAAAAATTATGTGGAAATAAATTATATCAATCAGTTAATTACTGCCAATGGGAAGGAGGAGACTGGAATGAAGTATTTTTTGCATTTTGTGGAATGGTAAATCTTTATACCGTAAATGCTAGAATAAGTGCCGCTGCGCTTATAACATTTTTGGAGGCTTCAGTGCGGTGCTTATTATTCAAGAGTGGGACTTACAAAAACAAATTGGCGAGGCACTTTCCACGCCCATTCCCATGTTACCTATTTCACGTATTCCCGTAGTCTACTTTACTGTAGATCTTATAATCATAAATAAACATTCATAAAGATTAAAGAAATGCTTGTCTTCATTGTATTATTTGTTCATTTTAACACTGTGTCATTGTATTTAAAACCCTGTTTCTCAAAGTGTTTCTACACACAGCGTAATACATAATTATACTCTCGATTAAGGGCCTCGGCGCTTATTCGAGAGCAGCGCTTAACGAAAAAAATCATGATTGGTGCAGAGCTTATTCGAGAGTGGCGCTTATTTGAGCATTTACGTTATTCCTAAAAGCTTAAAAACTGGAGCAGCATATACAGTACTCACTTTGCTTTACATTTTGTTGGACTGCCTTCAAAGCCTCCACTGTTTGGCTCTCCTTGGCATCTCTAATCAAAGTGCTGTTGTCCTCCAAGCAGGTTGAGTTGTCATCAGTATTAGCATTGGAATGGAAGCCATGGATACAATCCTCCTCATCGTAAGAAACAAATTCCCAATCATCATCGTTATCGTCATTGCTATCATCAATTGATTCTGAACGAACACATTCACGATTCTCTTCATCGGGTGAAGTTTGCAAAACATTCTCTGGACCAGCTTTGACATCACAATCTGATGAATTACAAACACCTCCTTCAAGAGAATTATCTGCACCATCAATTTGGACTGTTTGGTAGTTTGAGTTGATCACTTCTGATTTATCAGTACCAGTGGTTGGATTTAATGTAAGTGCATCAAGGTCACTTGTTTCTGATGAAATGTCAGAATTTCTTTCCATTTTGATCTGGTGTCTGTCGCCATAAATTTCTAGAACTGGTTCCTTGACATTTTCATTAGTTTCATTATCGTTATCACTGTTTTCAAGGTCGACACTTTCAAATAGTTCACCTGGTGGGCTGGATAATTCTTCCAAATCATCTTGTAATTGCATGGAACATTCTGCTCGCAGAGCATCTTTATTGAAAGCGTCCTTCAGAAGATCATCATTCAACCCAAAATAATCCACAAGATCACTTTGGATGGCATGACAATTCCATATATCCACTTCATTTTGGTAAATCACAGAATCTGGTTGAACTCTTACAGACCAGTTGTCATCACTTACATAGCTTGCAGTACTAGATTCTTGGTTCAATAAATCAGGATCTGATAAAAGATAAGAATCTCCATCTTGAACACATGCCGAGCTGCTATTTATATACACTCCAGATAATTCCCCTCTCTGTGGCAATTGTTCATCACATGCATCCCCATAATCTATGTGATCTCTTGTGTGGTACATTGCTTCAAAATAACCTCTTGAACTGGATGGATCTTCAGAGCTTTCCACACCATGGACTTGCAGTATATCAGAGGCAGACTTAAATAAATCCTGTTCAGGGTTTGAATAAGTGCTGCTTTTTTCACTACTCTCATGATCACTGCTGCTGGAAAAGCTGGCATTATCTGAGAACAAACTGGATCCAATTTCCCCAGGAGATAATGATTCACCAGAGAGATCATATGCATCTTCACACACAATCTGTAAAGCAGAGGCCCCCTCAGTGTCATGCACTTCTCCTTCTTCTGGTTCATACCCTTCCAGTGGAACAGAAACATACCCATCAGAGGGGTCACCAAACCGTCTTGGATCATCAGTTGAAGATTCTAGAAACATTCCCTTTTCAATTAAGTCTTGAATCTCTTCCAAGGTACATGCAAATGCCTCCTCATTTTCAGTGGTGACGTTATCTAAGAAAGCAGCCTCTTCACTTTCTTCATTGTCTCCAAACTGACTAGAGCCTGATGTCTGGCAAATACTTAGACTTGAGCTCGATGTCTGACAAGCACTTGGAACTTCTACATCATCAAGAGATTGTATAACCAGGTCATCTTCAATTGGTGGTACAAGAAATATTTTGGAATCACTGTTCCTTGAATGGAATAGGAAATCGTCATCAACATCCCTGCTATTATCTTCAAAGAAGTAGTCTGGTTGGTATTCATTCTCTTTATTGTCAGACGTGAAGTAGCTCTGGTTGCATAAACTACAGTTTTCATTTGAGAAATTTGAATCGGTAACATCCTTGGGGATGTCAAAGCTTTCATACTGCATTTCAATTTGACCCAGAGATGGATAAGAAGAAGTTACTTCTGAAATGGAAATATTCTGTTCCAGTGAGAAGTTTGAAGTTGTAAGTGACACTTCCGACAAGTCGCAATGAGTATTTACATCATTAAGAACAATAGATGTTGGTAAGTTGGAATGTGAAACTGGAGTTGCACACATCTGTTCTGATTCATTGAGTGTGGAGTTTTGCTGATCAGCTTTGTAAATAGGAGTAGACTGCGACACTTTAATAAATCCTTCATAGAGCGGGGACCGCCGCTTACTGCTTGCCTTTGATCTTGCTAACAGACTTGGCGAATTTTGTGAGATAGTCTGAAGCGGGGTTCTTTTCACAGATAAGTAATGATCAACATCTGGAATATAAAAAGTATTAAGAAATTTCATAAGAAATTTGGAGAATATTTTTTACAGGGTAGAAAAAGTGGGATGACTGGTGGTCAGACACATTGCGCATTACCCCAAAGGCTTTCTTAAGGAAACAATCAAAAGATTGCTGTTGAAAACTTAATATAATAATTATGTCAGTCTCGTAGTGCATGTTAATTATTAGGCCTAAAAAAAAAATTGTTTGTTTGCCCTTCTTTTTTTAAATGATAAAAAGGGGCAGGTAGAAAAAAGTGGTTTTTTTTCCAAGATAATACTCATCAGATGGAATAAAAACAACCCACAGTTGACATTTTGCAATGAATGTAGGCCTAGAACTTTAGACAACTTTGTAGGGCATCTGGCAAAAAATAAAGATCAATTCACTCACATTTTTCTTGTTTAAAGAAAAAAGCTAAAAAAGAAGTCCTCTATGTTTTTCCAGTGAGTTAGGGTGGGTGAGGAGAGAAAACAAGCAATTTTTTTTTTGTCTTACCCCAGTCAAGGGGCTTACTGTAGGCTGATTTTGGTTTGGGGGTACACATGCAGTGTTACTCTTGGCTAGTAGAAACAGTTTGAACTCCCCATGACAAGGTTGACCAAATCAGTTTGAATTGCAACAGCTCCCACTAATATCAATACAGAAGTTATAAAAAATAATAATCATCAATGAAAATCTCACCTTTGGCATTAATTACGTTTTCCTTTTTAGAGTGTGGTGAACCATGGAGGTATACCTCCATGGTGGAACTCTTCAAGAAAGACATCTTTGTATTGTTGCATATACCAAAACCTCTATTAAAATATATAAATGACAGGATAAAAGTAAATTAATAACTGAAAAAAGGAGAGAAAGATACAACATCGAGTGGCCAAGCAATAAGGCTAACTACAGCAATAATATCAGCGTTGGTTTGAGCAGCTCCAGGGTTATTTTTGTACCTCCCGAGTCAAGTCTTCTCAGATAAGGACAACTGGAGGTTCAGTGTACATAACAATTTTTTTTTTATTAAAAAAAATATATATATTTTACAAAACCAAAATTTTTCTCTACGCAAACGAAATCTTGAATGAAGGTTTTGGTCATTTTGAGTATTGACCCCCGGCGTTAGATTCAGATTCAAATTCATTTTATTTGTCATAATACATGTTAAACTTGCCTAAGTCGACTGTGCCTAAGTCAAATAATTTCTAAGTCGATCTTATTTTACATGCCAAATTGCTGTGTTTTCCATTAATTAACAATCTGTAAGTCAAATTCTATCTAAAATCGAATAATATTTCAATGGCATTTTGGATTCGACTTAGGCAAGTTCAACTGTATGACCTGTTTCTACCTGGGATAATTATTACAACAATCACAAAACAATATAAATATATTAATGCAAACAGTATAACAGTATACAATATTATAAACAATGAATGAGAAGAATAAAAGAACAAGAAGCTAATATTTCTGTTTAGTGGGTGATTTTTGCCATTAATTACTACAATAAGTTTAGTGAGCATGTCCATTTCATATAAACTCTACCATATATCAATTCACAGTCATCAGCAAAGATTAGCCTAGGTTTGATTGATGAAATTTTGGGTGACAAACCATCAGGCCAACCAGACGATCAGGCCCAATGTGGACAGTCGGGCCAGCGCCAAGAATGGAGGTTAGATGATCTGCTCATTTTCTCAAAGACGATCGGTCCCATTTTTTCCCGATACCATACCTAGACTAGGTCTACATATTACTGTACTGTACCTTACCTGGCCCCGGATCCCCTTTTGGAAAGTTAAAAAAAGAAAGGGAAAAAATAAGAAAAAAAAAAGGAAGGGCCGCCAAAACGCCTCAGGTTATTTCCAAGTGTTTAGAATACAAAAATTCCCCGGGTGGCATCTCTGGATCTGCCACTGGTTTAGCAAATTAGTTTTTATAATAAAGATCGTAAGAGAAGGGTGAAAAAAAGAAAATGTAATATAAAATCTTAAAATTTGACCTGGACAATTAAACTTAATATTTGATTTTGCCTACAGTACAGGGGATCGGGCCCATTTCTAGATTATTTATTATCAGACCCATTTTCAGGATGATCAGGCCCGGTCCACTTTCAAATCTGGTTAAATTCGAAATTCTATCTTGTGTGAGGGGAAGCACAAGCAGGACACTGGCACTGCCTCCCTGAAAAGTATGCAGCTTGTAGTCGGCTAAATATGTCTTTAAATATTTAGGCCTACAATAGGCCTAGCTAGACTAGGACGGCCAAACTTAGGCTACTCTAGACCCGCGGCTACGCTATCATGAATACATGTCAAACACGCTAGCCTATACTCACCCACCGGCAGTATACAACCTAGCCCTAAGTAGGCCTAGGCCCTATCTTATCTAGGCTAGGCCCAGGCCTGTCTGATTCAAGAATTGACGTTCGTTTCGTGACACTACTTTACGATGCCTTATGAAATACTACTAACTAGGCCTAGGTTATTTGAAATACACGTTGTAAAATAAACAAGTACACGTGTTACAATAAATATAAAAATGTTATTTACCATACGAAATCAAAATGTTAAGCCTATCCTAGGCCCATCTGCATAGCGATGATCAACTGTCAAAACTTTCCACTCAATCTCTAATTTTCCCGCTGATGGACAAGAGGGCGCTATTTTTCTAGCCCGATCTCTGAGCCTGATCAGACGTGACCGAGAGAGCCCTTCAATGGTAAGCATTCTTCAATTAGGCAAAGCTGCCATATAGACCCTTATGGCATATGTAAGAGCTATCGAAATATCCGTTTGATTTTGTTATAGCTTAATAAATTTGTGTTCCGCAAGTTCCGTTTTTTCATTGCTTTTGCATTTTATAATTTAATAATCATAAAAAAACCATCAGAGACAACTCCACTGGTTTCCCAGTAGCCTGTCACTTCAATCTACCTAACCATAGCATTAATGACATAAGATTTATTTTGGTCGCTAATAACTTTTTATCCCTCTCACATAGACGTAAAGAAGAATTAAAGTGGATTCTTAGAATCAATTCTTATATTAACGGTTTAAATAAAGACTTAGATTACTTATCAGACTATTCATTTATATATACGTAATTTTTTTCTTGGTTTCTAGGCCTTTTAGCTTTTATCTACTTTGTTTATTCCATATTAAATAGAACGTTTAGGATGCGCATCTTATTACGCGCCTTTGTTCTTTACCGCTGATTCGATGTT